CTTAAAGTTCCCCTCAGCCGCCGGCGGTCTGTGCGCGCCTCCCGGTGTACGGTGAGCACAGACCGGCCACGGAACGCCAGACGGGGGCTCACGGGTGCTGAAAGGAGGGAAGAATCGCCTCCCTTGAAGGCCCCTTGCGAGTCTCATCTCCAGCGGAGCTTTGCCCTCCTGACACCATCCCTACGTGCCCGGGCATCGTTTCTGTGTCCCTCCTCTGTAGCCTGTCCCTGCCTCCGGCTCCCGCAGCAGCCATCTCATGCCGGGGCTCTGCCTTGAGCTCCCTGCTTGGCCAAGCCAGGCTCCTGACACGTCTGCTTGCTTTGCTGAGTGCTTGGGGGTGCTGCCCTACCTTGGGTGGATGAACAGAACAGAATTCAGAAACTTTGTCGCTACTGGCATTCTGCTGTCCTAAAGGACGAGCTTCCTCTGCTTGATGGTCTCTCTGGTTCACCAGGGTGTCCCTGTAGAGTCTTCTGTTCGAGTGCATGAGAAGAGGTTCAAGCTTCCACCCAGCCAGGGACACTTAGGTGATGGCAGTTGTGCAGACCCCACTGGAAGGAGTCCAGGGGCTTGTAGCCTTTTAACCATATTTAATACGCAGTGCCAAACTCCCAGTGGCGCTTTCCCCCCTCCAGAAAAAATCTATGGTTGTTTATGGATTTCCATTTTCTTGCTATTCCAGTGTGTTTCAGGTACACCAGGTCATCCCTTGCTTCAGGATGATGTACTGCAATAGAGGCTGCAGCTGGCAGCCTGGACAACCAATTTAAGCCTTGTTTTATGCAGAGTTTAATCAATACAGTTGTTGGTGCATAAGATGAGGTATCCATGTAAGTACACAGAAAGAAGGGTGGCCACATTCTCAAAAGTGACCAGAAAGTCTTTGTGATTTTTTTTTTACACGAGGCAGGGATTTCGTGTCTTTGAACCCCTTTGTCCCTCTGATGCTTTCTGCCCTAACTGCTTCTCCTAAGTCTGGAGTGAGGGGATATCCAGCAAAAGCTGTTCAAAATAAAACTGAACAAACATTGCTCCACAAAGTGATGCCTGAGATTGTAGTTGCCAGATACTGTGGATGCCAAGAATATAAAAGGGTTATGAGGCAATTAGACAGATTCATGGGAAGAAAGTGTCAGCAACAGGGTTTTGGTTTCTATGACTGTGAGATCCTATTTGAAGATCAACATCTGGTTGGGAGAGATGGGAGCCACCTTACTAGGTGGGACAAATGTATCTCTGCCAGTAGGATGGCTGACCTGGTAAGGAGGTCTTTGAACAAAGAATGATGAGAGAAGGAGCGTTACCAGCAGTGCCTGCAAGTGGCTGGTTGCTGAGCTCCTGGAAGTCGTCGTTGGCCACCACAGAGTGCAGGATGGTCTGGAAAGGCTGTTTATAGAGTGGGTGTCTGGCATTGGTTTTGGACCATCGCCGCACGCAGGTGAAGTAGAAGTTGTGTTGGCAGAGGTCCAGTTATGCCACATTGTCCCAGGTGTCCAAGCAGATGTACCGCTGGAAGATGCAGCTGTGGTCATGGCGGGCTGCAGCAGGTTGGAGAGAGCTGCAGGGGAGGAGCTGCTCCCCTCTGAGGTGCTCCAGCTGCTGAAGCCCCACTCTGCAAAAGAGAGGCACCAAGGTCAGGCCCTTCCTCAGGCCGGGAGGCCAGAGAGCAGATGAGCTGTGAAAGGACATTGACCTCCCAAGGTGGTTTTTTCAGGTTGAAAGGAAGCAGCATGGGCATTATTACTGCACCACCCCACAGCCACTGCTGCATAAATGCTTTTCTTGCCTTTCTCTACCCTGACTGCTGCTTCCCCTCAAGAAAGGAGGTGTCAAGGGTCGGTCTCCTGCCAGCTCAGCAAGGAGAGAGGCCTTATGTTCATATTAGATGACTATTGATATGACTATCAATATCCTTCCTTTATCCTAACCTACTTTTCTCTTACACTACATTATTCTCTCTTCACCAGTGTGTCTCAACCCATGTACTACTATTGCTCCATTTTCAATACCAAGCCCTGGAATATAGAAATATGCCAAACCAATTCAATCCTGATTTCAACATTGAAGCATTTTATGGTGTTGAGATGAGTGAGTCAGTTTTTCACATGGTAGCACACTGAGCCCTGGCAGCCCGGGGGCAACTAGCACGGACAGGGGGTGGCTCCGGGGCTCCACACTGAGAGATGCTGCTGTCACCCCAAATGTAAAAGAGAAGTGTGTTGCACCAACAGCAATGCCGGCACCGGTCCGACTCTCCCCCCCGCCAGGCGCTGCTGCTCGCTCACAGGACCTTACGAGGGAATTGGTTCATGTGGGAACTGGGGTTGGGCAGTCCCTGTCCAGGGATGACCTGACAAAGGGGCACTGGCACTGTACCCTCCCTGCGGGGCTGCAGGATGAGGCTGGGGGCCTTGGCACATCAACCACGTTTCCTTTCCCCTCCGTCTTTTCTCCTGGGTACCACCAGTGGCACACGCTCGGCCCCCAGGGGCTGGGCTTGAAGGCCATGGGAGTCATTTCCCAGAGAAGGGCAACCAAGAGGGAAGCCGTGGCCCGGCTTTTTTCTCTATGCACAGTTCTTCTGGCTCTTTCATTCCCATTAATTTCTGTTGGGTTTTGCTTCTCCCTGATATTTCCCCTGGCAACTGCTGCATTTTCCAAGTATCTCAGGGTTGGCTTGGCATGAGGGGTCCTGAACAAATCCTACCAAGAGCTATCACCCTGCCTTTCACGGCAGTCTCTCTGGGAAAGTAAAGTTTTTTTTTTTCAATGTGTTTTAATTATGTCATCCTCACATTGCAATTTCAGCATATCACCATCTCTGATAGATATGTCATCACCTTGATTTATACAAGTACGCTTCTCCTTATACAGAGGAGGAAATGAGAAAGTAATGGCCATATTTCAAAACCGCCTGCAGTGCAGGTGGCATAAAATCTTATCTGACAATTATATTTGAAGGTAGAAATTTAAATGAAATCACTTTAATATTTAGCAATTGACCAACATCAGATGATACAGCAAGCAATTTAACATAAGGAGGCATGCAGGCAGCAATATTTAAGTTTCTGGGCCTCACCGAGGGCTTTTTAATGCTACCATAGCACAATTGAAAAGTTGGTCCAAAAAAACTCCAGCAATATATACATTTTTTAATGTAGCCCATCTCCCATCTTGTCCAGGCCCTGAGGGCACAAATAAGCCTTAATGGCCCTGCCCAGCCTGATACCCGTAGGCCCAGGACCCTCGTTTTGGCTCAGCGCGGGGCTGGATGCCCAGGCCATTCTAGGGGCCCCCACGGTCGCAGTCCCGTCCCCAAGGGAGCTGCCCTGCTCGTGCTGCACCCTGACAAATCTGTTGCCTTTTTCTGCTAGCACATGCTCCTGTACAAATATTTAACAAACACAAAATTGCTACGAAATGGTGTTGACACAGGTAGGATATGATGGGCCCACACAGAAGAGCACAAACTGCGTGTGGTGCAATGGGCCCTGTGAGAAATCTCTATCTGTAGAGTTTGACCAAGGAAAAGCTTCAGTGTCAGCCCCCGCCAGGCCCAGCCCTGGCTGGGGCAGCCAAAGCAAAGACTTTGGTTCTTGGTTTTCCCTCGTTTGCACAGCAGCACAGCTCGCTCTCTGCTTCATACACCTCCGTTTCTGTTAACTTTATTTGCGGGACTGAGAGAAGTCTAATGCGAACAGAAGATGCTGTTTAACGTGAGCAATTGCTTCAGTGCTGCAAAACTAACATGGACCGGCAAGCGGCTGCTGCGACATTTTTGGTAAGCTTATCCTTTAGTTTTGTCTGGTGTTCAGTGCCATTTAGTCAGAAACCTGGAGACAAAAGCTGTTGAATCCTGTGAAGGAGTGGGTGTTTCAGAGAAAGGCACTTTTTTTCGCATTTTTAGTGCCTTTTTGCCTCCTGAGGCAGAAAGCTCAGCGTCTTTGGGAGACTGGAGGTTTCTCCCTTTTAATGTTTGTGAAATGCTGTTAATTCTCTCTGTGGGATTTAGCAGCAAAGTCAAGAAGGAATGTTTCTTCTTGAGGTCAGTGTACATCGCAGGTACTGTAATCAATGAATAACTATCTGAATAAAATACAGGAAATTTGTGTGCATTTAGACAGTTATCATGGCCAGTACTGGGGGGGGGAGTTCTCTCCTTGAAGCTGCAAGGTGAATCTCCGCTTCGGTATTTTTTTGTCTCTATATACAATGGAGGCGTGCAGGAAAAGCGTGATGTGGTACGATGTTCAAAGTTAGCCAGGTAAACCCGGCTCTGTGACCTGGCTTTGGGTTCTTTCTTCAACCACATAGACGTGCCTGTCCCCTGTGCCTTCAGAAAAGTACCTGTATGACAGTTTTCAGTAAGCTGCGTGTCATTTTTATTTATCATTTCTACATTACATCAGATGAAAACCAAATGTTTTCCAAGTTCTGTGATTTCTTTGCTACAGTTGCCTGGTGGTCCTGAAAAGTGGTCCTGAAGCCTGGGTGATGATTTTTTTTTAATGGATTTTGGATTTTCACTGCTGGCAATTGGTGGGAGCTTTCTCTGGTTAGCAGACATGATAGACAAGCAAGTTTGGAAAACAACTGCAGTAAAGCTGGTTTTTCAATAAAGTCATCCAATTCATTAAGCTCCCCACATAACATTGTTTTTTTATTTTTAGGGTTTTTTTAACGTTATATCATAATGTTGGCATAAGCTATCACCACTGTCTGTGAGCATTACGAGTTAAGCACACTGTGGTTGATATTGCAGGATAAGCTAATACCTATCAGTCTGTGCTAATAGTCCAAAGTAATTGCTGTCCCTGCTCAGAAAGGAATAAGCCAACTGCTTGACCTTGCAATTCTGCCTGTTACATTTTAACTTTGGTATGTTGTCTCATGCTCCTTCTCTGGAATTTACTAGTCCACTTCTGCCTCTCTTTCAGAGGATGTGGTCAACAGGGAAGGGAGCAGATTTCTTGAAGGTCATAGCAATAAAACACAATCATCATGGGAACATAGAGGTCAGGAGCAGACCTCTAGTCCAACTTTCTGCTTGTAGCCTGACAACAGCATATGAGGTCAGCTATGTCTTTGCTTAGCCACATCTTGAAAATCTCCAAGGATGGTAATTCCAAATCCTCTCTGGGTAACCAATTTTAGTGCTTCACTATCTACCAGTGCAGAAATTAGTGGTGAATATTTCTCAGTCCGCTTCTCAACAGTGCCAAGTGGTAAAACAAGACCCATGAATGGAAGTTCCTGCTTGGCAGGTTGAGATTAGACAATCTCTAACTCCCTGGAAGGAATTGTAGGCTGCAATTAGAAACTCAAGGAGCAGCATCAAAGCTGCTCTGGGAACAACACAGCGAAGGAGAGTAGAGTGACCAAGCAGCAAAAAATTGCGTAGATTTTAAAACAGGACAAGTATTTTTTTGTTCCCCCAAACTGGATAGAGTAGCAAATTCCTATTCTGAAAAATAATAACAATAAAAAAGTCACAGTTATGAAACTAATTTCTTTCACATTTTACACATTGAATTTAGAGCCAACCCCTTGAATATCAACTAAGAGCCTTGGTATTCAAGGCTGGGTTTTAGTAGCTTGCCTTGGTAGGCCATTTTTCATGCTATGGTGGAAGCTACCTGACCCACGAATGCCCAGCTTTTCTTATAATGTCAGGTATATTCTATTCTGCAGCTCTTGAATATAGACGTACAGGAAATCATTTTGCTACCTCTGTAACTCCCACTTCAAATTCAAAAATGGGGCATTTGGATGCTTCCTAACTGTTTCTAGGTTGTTTACCTCAGGTTGGAGGCAAGCATGGGAACAGAAGGATAACACTTACAGCAAAATATGTAACTTTATTTTATTAATGATTGTAATGCTGTGAAGATTAGTCTTTATGGCTTGGAAATGTGCATTATTATTTTAAATGGTACTGCCACAAATATTTGTTACTGAAGTCACACATACAGTTTAGATTGTATTTCACTTAAGAATCAATTTTCAGAGACACTCTAAGAAAATACACAGGCAACATTACTCTAAACTTAGAAAACAAAAAATCCACTCCTTTATCTGCATCGTGCTACAGAAAAGTCCTTCCCTCCTGCAGTTTGGGGGCCTGTGCAGAGACCAGACTCTGATGGTGCACATTGATGGGAATCTTTGTGGTGCTTTGTGCTTAGTCTAGTGGTGGACCCTCTGGCAGTCTGCATAATCTCTGGAGCACATTGCCCTGATATATGACAGCATATACTGAGTTCCAGCAATATTAATCTGCAGGACATCTGCATGGACTACTTCATATATTCTCCGTGTTTCTGCTGTTACACATAATCCTTTTCACTGTGAAAAAAGTCTTCTTAGTAATGGCAGTGGTATAATGTGTATCTAAAGCACTTTTAAGGTGTCCGGAAGGAAAACACACAGCATTTAGATATCTTCAGTTAAAGAAAAAATTCTGCTACATGATTTGAAAAGTTGTGCAGTTTGTGCTGTGATGTCAAACGGACAGTAATAGTGTGTGGTACCATTCCCGTAAGAGCTGCTCTCTTCCTCCAGTTCCAGTTGGAGCCTATGCGACAAAATTCTATAGAAAAAGTCTTTCCCTCCAGATTTAACTAATATAACACCAAAATCTTTAGAAGCCATAATAGGCCTATCCACTACCAGGGCTTTTATTCATTGGAATTAACAGAAAAATGAACAGAAATTCTACTTTTTCCCCTGAATATTCCTAGCTGTGGGCTCCAGGGCTTGACAATTGGCAGGTGCTGTAACTGAGCCTGGCCTCAAAGGAGAGCTAAAGGGAAGCCTACTTGGAAATACTAAAGTGGTAGCTGCACTCAGTCCATTTGTTTGCATTGCTTTCATCTCCATTCCATCAGATCAGTCTAAAAATGCTGCCTTTAGTTAAAAAGACATGTTTAGCTTGTACCCATCCAAACCTTAGCAAAAGTACAGTGCAGACTGTGTTATGCTAAGGAGGGCTGTAGATACAGTGCCAGGGAAGGGGCTAAGCTGCCACTCTCGCTCTCTCGCTTACTAATCTTAAGCCTGTGGAAACACGGGCTTGGACGTGACTTTCATTAAGACACCTCATCTAAGCTAGAGGAAATTCATTAGATCATGTAACTTCTGTGGGTGATTATCAACATTCAATTTCATAGAATCATAGAATCATTAAGGTTGGAAAAGACCTCTGAGATCATCGAGTCCAACCGTTCATGTGATTCTGAAGTCATAAATCTGTCTGGAGGTCAGAATACACTGAATATATACACTGCACATGCCCAGAACATCTCTTGTGTGGTAGGAAAAAGACCAGAGCACATGGCTATTTTGTTGGGATTTTTTACCCTCTTCCCTAGTGTAATCAAAAGATTTCATACACCTTTATAGAAATGCCACCGTTTGTATTGTGTATTGTTGTGTACTGGGGTGTATTGTTCCACCCCCACGGTGGAACATGGAAAGTGTCTACTCATCCACAAAGCACGAAGGAAGGAGAAAGAGCACCAAGATCAGTTCCTTGTATTCTGTGCCCCCAAAGGGCAGCTTTGTGGTCTATGCGTAAGCCATTTCACCAAGCCCT